TAATATATATATCTCCTGCCCGGGCTTAAACCTACTTATTGCTTCCACCCACTTCCAAGGTGAGTCTTTCCTCCTCAGTTTATAACCTACATGTCAGTCTCCCACATAATTACCCAGAGTTTTCCTAATCTGCTATGCAGTTCTTACTCAAGTCAAATAGATAGCACAGCAATTAATGATTATAGTGTGTAAATTTTATGGGGTATGTAAACAGGTTCCGGCTTTACATGTTGATATTCATTCACTCAGCACCAATTTGCTGAAAAGATTTTCTTGTTCTCATTGAATCCATTGGTGCTTCTGTCAAAAATTACTCTTCTCAATACCTCTGTCTCCTTTTACACATTTCATTATGTTTCACTGACAGATTTTTTTGCCTTATTAGAGTAAAATTCTGTCATAAACATGGAAATAAGTAATAAATTAAGATCATCTAAATTTCCCAATCCTATTTTGAAATTTTAACTATTCTAGTTCCTTTCTATCTTCCATAAACTTTAGGATCAGCTTCTTAAAAAGTCAGCAAGGGTTGGTGGGTATATTTCATTGAATTTTAAGTCAAAAAATGTTACATGTCTTAAAACAGTGAGACTTTACATCCATGAGCATGGCATTTTTTTTTTTCATTTATATGTTTCATTTTTCTCAATGATGTCCTATATGCTTTAGTGAAAGAATTTCTGTGTACATTTTTAAAATTAGAATTCTCTTATTGTATTGATGCTATTATGTCGAAATTTAGTTTTTTTACATTGTAGAAAATGTTTAGGAAATTAGTTTATTTTCATATTGATTTTTAAACTCTGTGTTTCATGAACACATTCTCTAGTTTAACAAGCTTTTGGAGAGAGGTACTGAATTTGGGACAGACATTCATGACAGTTGGAAAAAGACAATTTTTCCCTTTGCTTTTTGATACATATTTTTACTTGTTCTTTCATTAACCATGAATCCAGGTATATTAATGAGTTATAACAATAATAATCCTTTTATTGTTCTTCATTTTCATGAAAATATATTCAGTATTTCCACATTAAGTATAATGCTAGTGCTTGATATTTTATTTAATCCTTTTTTAAAAATGTATATGTTTGCCATATATTTTGATCACTTCACGAATGTCATTTTTTATATTGCTGGATTCAGTTTGCTGACAGTTTATTAAATGTTTTCACAGCTACACATAATATTCTTTTTCATTGCAATAACCTTGTCTAGTTCTGAATCTGTCAATACTTTCTCACAAATTGAAGTGAGAGAAGTTCCTTATGATTTCCTTAAAAAGTTAGCTTAAGACTTGGTATCATTGTTTCTTTAAAATTATGAGAAAATGAGCAAACATAAATATGGATAGAATATTTATTTGAGAGGTTTGTGTTTATACATACAAATTATAAGGTTAAAGCTACAAAGCTCACCTACACGTTACTGTATATATTTAATACACTGTTTCAACATGGAATATTGCAGCTACATTGACAACAGCCACCAGCCACTTGCAACTTGAGAGCCTAGGGTGGGAGTTGGGCAAATCAAAGATGAGGCCAATTTTCATAAACTCCCAGTTAGGCCACATCAGCTTAATAGGGAACAATCTAAATGGTAGATAATTTTGATTGTGAAACATAGGCCAGATCTACTATAATCTGAGAAAATAGAAAAAATCAGAAATACTTGCCAGCCTCCACTATGGTTCTACAGAGATCTGACAAGATCTGATCCAAAGTGATCATTAAGTCTATATTTGTGCATATGTGTGCCATGCAAAAAGGAGAGAAATTGGTCATTTTCAAGGAAAAAAAAAAAAACCCAGGGATTAATGAAAGTACAGCAAACATGAACTTCGCTCCTCCCATGCTGCTTGAATGACAGCCCCTAAGGGAAACATCCGTTCGTAACCATCTCAGGTCCAGAGAGATTCAAATGAACATTTCCTTTAACAAGATAAATCAAGGATCTGCAGGATTACTTTCCTTAATCTGCTTGTCTGGATCTTACACTGTCATTTTTCAGTATTCCTTACATTTTTGTGCATACTCGACTCTACTATTTGTAGGAATTTGAAGACACAGGGCTGTTAATATTCAGTAATAAGTTCATCTGGTAATTGTGTATGGTCCCATACATCTAATAATGAAACTAAAATTAAAATTTCATCTGAGACCAGCAGAATTTTCCCTGGTGATAATATTATGGTAAGTCACTCAGATCTACCACACTTTGATGACATATTGTATTAAAATTTAAATTTGGGACATCATCCAAAATTCTTATTATCTGTGTGAATAGAGCTATTGTTTTGTACAGGACAGACAAGACTGATCACAGGACAATCTCTGCTCCACCTCAGAGTGCAGTGTGTGGCGTCTGTTTCTTTCCCTTATGCTGCATCTGTCCTGATCTCTAACTCTCCATTCTCTTTCCTATTTTCAGTCTCCTCATCATAAGGCCCCTCATTTGTATTGCACTTTGAAATTCAGAGAACATTCTCAGATTCATTAAATAACTTTCATAATCCTAATTCTTAGTCAGGTCATAAATTCCTCTCACTAAAAAAGACACTGATATTAACCTATTTGTCCAGTATCTCTTAGTAAGAAATGTTTAAACCTATAAATAAAAACCCAAGTACCTGTGTTCTAGCCCAGCTGATAAACTACTATATTCAGGGTATAAAATGATGTCCTTCCATACTTTATGCTTTAGCAAAAGTGAATTTAGAGGAGTCACTAAACCTAGCCTTAAGAATAAAAGGAAAATGCTACTGGCATTGTCTCTGTCTTATTGATTCCAGATAATTTTCTGCGTATTCCCCTCTTCTCTCTTTATAATTCCAGTATGAAAAAATATTCTATAGCATTCATTAGGTCAGATGGCCTCAACAAAAATCCTACTTCTGCAAACACCAACACTCCTCCAAGACCCCCTCATCCAGGTGGCTTTTTATATTTGTAAATGACCAAGAATCTTTGTATCTAACATCTTGACAAGCAGAAAAAGATCAGATCATGGTAACTGCATAATCCACCCAGAAAGCATATTTAATATTTATAAAAAGTATATCAAGCTGGAACTGGTGTACTTAATTCAAAATTGATCTTAATTTATCATACTCATTACTTGAACATTTCTAAGAAAAGATACAATTGTGAAGAAGGGTAAGGCCAAGCAAATAATTGAAGGAAAATATGAGGCAATCTTTTGTATTTCTGATATGTTAATACTTGAGCATTATAAAATATTAAAAGTCAAGAAGTATCCACAAATCACTTTGGTGGTAGAAGTTGAAGGAAGAGAAAAGAAAACAGGCCAGCTGATAAACTACTATAAAATGATGTCCTTCCATACCTGGTGGATGCTCCACCAGGTCCCAGATATGGTGCTAGATGCTTCTGATTAATCAATGTGGATTCTCAGTTGGACAATCACTACAGATATATAGAAATAGGAAATGATTTAAGAAGACAAAGAAGTAAAAGGGAACAGAAATCTGAATGAGTTCTAAAATTTCCTATTGCTCAGTACAATATCTGGTAAAAAAAAATAGCAATGCCAGAAGGCAATGCCAAAACTATTGATGACCTTCTGTGTGTCTGTCACTGTTGTGAAGTCTTTCCATATAGCATACTTGGGAAATCTCATCTGATTTCCCTTTTTTAAAATACTATGTGTGCTCTGATGACTCAAATAATCCTGCCTTAGCTCTTACTTTTTCCTGAATCCCTGACTCTGCACCACATTTCCCTCTCAACATAACTGCTGGCCATAAAACAGACATCATACTTATTATATGCAAACAGACAAAATACCTTCCAATCCTGGTCTTTTACAATCACCATTAACCTGTCTGATACCAACTTTCTTGGTTCCAAAAATGTTCCTCTTCTCAGGTACAACATTCAGCAGGTGACATCCATACAAGACTTCTCTGACTTCATTTTGTCACTTCTCTCATTACCAGTCCGGATTGTGCATTTCTTTAACTGAATTATATTCTGTCTATATGATTCTCTGATTGTGTTTCTGTTTGACTTAATGAGTATTCTTGATATTATAACCAGATCTTAAGGGATCCTTTAAAAATATGAGTCAGAGCACATAACACTCTGCATATTTTAGACTGTCCAAGAGTGTCCCATCACACCTCGGATAAAAGTTCTCACCCACATTGTCTATTAGAAGAATCTAAATCCACCTAAAGCACCTCCTACTACTACTATCATTTTCTTTCTTTCTGTTCCTAGATTTTCCTCAAACATGCCAAACTAACCCCCCCCCCTCTCTCTCTCTCTCTCGCTCTCTCTCTCTCTCTCTCTCTTTCTCTCTCTCTCTCTCTGTCTCTCCCTCTCTCTTTCATTCTCTCTGTTTCCCTTTAAACTTGATGCTCCCTCTTTTGAAATGTTCTTTCATGCAAACACTCCACGGCCTCCTCTTTCACTTCAGTCAGAACTCAGCTGCAGGACCTTCCCTCAGCTCCCTCCCCAGTCACAGAACTGTGCTCCTTACTTTACATCATTTCTTTCAAAATAGTTCTCACTGCTTGACTCCAAATTCTCTATGTCTTTGTTTATTAGGATCCTCCATTAGAATGCCATGATTAAGAGTGTAGAAATTTGTTTCTCATAATAAACTTTCAGAACAGAAAATTCGCAGGAGAGTCCTGGAGAATAAAAGACAGCACCATAGTGTAAAAGCTACATATGATGGAACCTGTTGTCTTTTATTTGTGAGCAAACTGCAACTCACACAGGAGGCAAAACCTCTTCAACATCTTGCAGCTGTTATGTGGCCATGCCTGAAAATGCATGTGGGTCCATTTCCCTTTCAACAACTGACATCTTTATCGCCCTCCAATGAATAAAGTAGAAATGTGATAAAAGAAATTGTAAGATATAGGGTGCTAAAAAGTTAAAAATTGCTTTGGGAGATAGAAGTCAAAAGGAAAATAAATTAGATGAAATCAGAGAATTTGTAAGCCTAGCAAAGCTTTGGTAACAGCCATGCAGCCTGGTTCACTTAGGGCGCATCACATTCATGCAGACACAGGTTTGTTTTCTTAGTGGAAGCCCTGTCTGTTCACTCGCTTCATTCTCATCTGATATTACTCGCTTATACTTAGAAACCAAGGCACGTTTAAACGGGAACTTTGTGTATGTAGTGGGCACAGGTTTAGCTTCCAGTTCTTTTTTCTCCCTTAAGGCTGTTGAAAGGACAGGAATCCTGCTTAAACATGAGGTCAAAATGCTTTCAGTGCTTATCAAAATGGAAAACAGACTACCCTAGTATTTCTGTAGCAAAAGGAAGAAAACATCAGAGGAGATTATTTAGAAGTAAAATTACGAGCAACATAGTAACCAGAGCTGTGCAGAAGTTACTGAATTTGTCAGGGTTAGGGAAAAACTGTGATTTACAGGGCACATTGAGCTTCAATTAAAACTGGTAAGTCCTGAGTCTAACACTTACTAAATGATCTTGGAATGTCTTCATGAACTCATTTGTAAATTTGTGAAAAAATATTATCTTAAAGCTCTGTGATTTACTGTAAATACTTAATCTCTTTCTCAGTCCATTCATATAATTGAGAACATTATATGAACTTTGAAGTTACTTTGAAGGTGGGTAACATCATTAATACAATGCTTCTTCTACTGCACCTGGATCCTTTCCTTTTCCACCCAAGTTTCCTTCAGCACATGCCAGGAGTTGCTTTCCAGCATGCTAGTGTCACTTTACACCTTCTAATTTTAGCCTGACTCCATTCCCCTTGTTTCCACACGATAACATAATAGAAGAAGAGAAGGAGGAAAGGAATTCTCAGGACCAGGAATTGAGGGGGCAGGCAGTAGAAATCCTAGGTGAGGGCAGAAACCTTTTCTAGGAAAAGCGAAATTAGGATTTTTGGAGGTAAAATGAGTTTCACTTCTAACTGTGAGTAAAAACAGGCATCAAAGGAAGTATCACCACCTTGATAAGAATCTAATTAAAAAAGATTGTATTCCACTAGTTCCATCCCATAGTATTTTGAGTTGTTAAAAATATGTCATTCCTCAGATCCTAGGTCACTAAGTCCGACTGGATGACAGTGCCTAACAAGGTGCTCTCCCTTGATACACTCATCTATCACAAGTGGGCGAGGTATGGGGACAGGAAACCATTCCTAAAGGCATTGTCCTAGAGGCATTGATGGACCATCCAGGGCTCCAGCTCCCTCTCTTCTTGCCGTTCCTGCTTATTTACTTGGTCTCCTTGGTGGGAAACTTGTGTCTACTCTGTTTAATCAGGACCAGCCCTCGGCTTCACACTCCTGTGTATTATTTTCTCATTCACTTGTCCTTCATAGATCTCTGCTTCTCCTCTGTCATAATGCCAAAGATGTTAGAGAGCTTTGTGTTAGAGAAGAACTTCACATCCTTTCTGGAGTGCACGACTCAACTCTTTTTATTCTACTTCTTTGGTATTGATGATTCCTACATGCTGGCAGCCATGGCATATGATCGCTACATTGCCATCTGCAATCCTTTGCTCGATCATGTCACCATGTCCCACAGAGTCTGTTTGCTGCTGATCACCAGTGTGTATGCAGCGGGGGTTTTGGGGGAATTAGCTCACACTAGCTATGTATCCACTCGTTCCTTCTGTGGAACTAAAGTCATCCACCATTACTTCTGCGACATCCTTCCTCTTCTGAATATATCTTGTTCAAGAGACTACACCAAGGAGCTGTTGGTGATGATGCTGGTTGGGTTTAATGTGCTCACCTGCGCTGCAGCCATCTTCATCTCTTACGCCTTCATCATGTCCAGCATTCTGCATGTGCGCTCAGCGGGCGGCAGGTCCAAAGCCTTCAGTACCTGCAGCTCCCATCTTGCAGCTGTTGGGATTTTCTATGGCTCCATCACTTTCATGTATTTTAAACCAGCTACCAATGATATGACCCAGGAGAAGGTGGCTTCTGTTTTTTACACCACAATGATTCCCATGCTTAACCCCCTGATCTACAGCCTGAGAAACAAGGAAGTCAAAGATGCCCTAAAAGCAGTTCTGAATTGTAGGATGCTTTCCAGGTTTGCATAGAAAATGACACATTCAAAAAATTAAATCAATTTTAAACATACATTTTGTCTTTTATTTTTGTTTGTTTGTCACAGTAACTAGTATAGCACTTAAGGGCCATTTTAAACTAAAACAGCCAAGGGATTTATTTTCTCCTTTTAGTCCCCTTACTATCAACACCCAGCTCACCTTTTCAATCTCCCCAGTCTATTTTCCTACTGCTTTAGGCCACTGTTATGTCATAGTACCCTAAATCAAATCTTTAAGAAGAAAGAAAGCAAACCAAACTAGGAGTAATCTCTACAAGATCACCATGTTTTTGTTTTAAATATAAAGGCAGAAAAATGATAGAAAAATAATTGTAGTCTAATGTACACCATAGGAAAGTGACAAATATTCTGCAAGCTAGATGTTGGATTTTTAAAAAAAGAACCTATAATAAACATTATTGGAGCAACTAATAATGTTTAAATGTGGATTATCTATTCAAATATAGTCATTTGTACAATCATGATGATATTAAATTTCCAGTGTATGATAGTTGTCCTGTGCTTTCATAGACAAACTTTGCCACTCGTAGAAAATGCATGCTGTAATATTTAAGAATGCAGTGTTCTTTTGTGTAGTCATTTCCAAATGGCACATGATATGTTTGCATAAGTGTGTGTGAGTGTACATGTATATAGTATGACCCAGGAAAAGTGAACACTGACATCAATGTGACTAAATGTTAACAAAGAAACAGCCCATTGTTATACTTTTGGAACTGCTTTTTTGTTTTGTTTTTTGTCTTTCTGGAAAGGATCTCCTAATGCAGTTAAGGGTGGCCTTGAGCTCAGCATGTAGTCAAAGCTGATTTCAAATTTGCAATGATTCTCCTGCATCAGTCTCCCGAGTGATGGGATTACATGTGTGTGGTACCCTGCCTGGCATATTCTTGGAACTTTCTCTAGATAATGAATGGAAATAAAAGACACAATTATATTCACCCAGTTTGCTCTGCCACCAATAAAATATTCTAGGACTGGAAACGGGCAGATGAGTCAGGAACCTATTACATGAAATAATAAAAAGCAACATAGGCCAGGATGCATATAGAAAAGGCAATGAGAGAATTATGGATGTATCTTGAAGATTAACCCTTGATTTAGTGGTGGTTTGGATAAATAAAATAAAATGTTGTTGAAGATGACTCCAATATTTTAGACTCAGCAACTAGAAAGATTGGATTGCAATTTCCAAACAGAAAATTGTGAGAGGGACCAGTTTGGGCAAGGATATGTTTGACCCACTTACAATGGTCATCTCTCCCTTACTAATGACTTTCCAATGCACTACTAATGTTGTAATTTCATTTATATGGCATAAAATATCAATGAAAAAATTTGTACAAAAGTACAAATTTCAACAATAATCCAAATATTAAATAAACAGTAACAAAAAATAGCGGGTGGATTATAACTCAGCCACACCTGTGCTCATATAATTATGAAAGTTGTATAGCTGTCACGTCGAACAGAATGACCTTCTGTTGCAATTAGATTGAGATAAAAGCTAAGTTGAAAGGCACAAGGATGGGTCAGTGTTGCAAACAAAAAGAAATGAAGTTGAAACAACATGTTCTACTTCTAGGATGTTCATTATTCACCTTGAAATGTATCAGAAGAAAATCATTATAATGGGTAGGAAATCTGAACAAACAAGTTCCAAAATAGCTCTTATGGCTTTTGATATAGCTTTGATATATAGCTTATTAAGTTTCACAAGTCCTCTTATGCCTTTCATTTTCTTAGGGAAAAATAGATAAAGTTTTGTTGCAAATGAATTCATAGAAAATTATACACTTCCCAGTAGCATTTATTACACCTGAAATAATTTCTATCTACACACATAGAATGCAAGCATGATGACAACAGTGGTCATATGTGTCTGCTATGCCCTTTCCCCCAAGTACTCATTTTATTATAGAACAAGAAATAAAATTGTTTTAGAAAAAATGTTTTTCTAGATACCATTTATCAATTCAGAGGAAGTGGTTAGCATAAGTTTCCAAACACCCATTTTGGGGTTCAAAGGGAGAGTATTTGACCACTGAACCATACTGGTCCATAAAAGATCATGGCTATACTTTCACAAGTCCTGTACCTGGAATGAAACAAAATGAAGACACTAAAACAAGGAAAAAGAAATAAAACTTGGTTAGAGATGCAACTAAACACTGTTTCTCTTCTAGACAGAAGGAGATGAAAGAAAGAACAGCCCCCACAAAGATGTTAGAACATACTTTTTTTATAGTTCTTTGTCAACATGAAAAGAACAGAGTATAAGTCCACAGGGAGAAATCAGCAACCCAGAACCTGGTAGCATTTAGTTGGTGAGCCACTTTTAGAGTGGGCAATCCACTAACAATCCACCTCTTGTCAACTTGGCAACCAGACATATTTCTTTAAAACAGCCTTATTTTTATCATTCTGTAGATTGACTATTATAACACAGCTTAACAATCCTTAAGAACCAGAACTAAGTCTACCAACATTATACTATATTAGTAACATAGCATTTTGTCCTTGAACTCCCAAAGACTCATGCACATCCCTCGATGCAAAAGGTGTTTAGTCCATCTGCAAGAGTTACCAAAGTCCTAGTTTTAGCATTCTTACATGCTATTATTTCTAGAGGTAAAAGTGATGTGTTGATTTTCAAATAATATTTATTGGCTTAATAAGAAAGAAAAATCTCTAAAAATTAAATATATTATCTTAGCAATTTTGAAATATAGGACGAATATCTAGGACCATATCATCCTGAACACATGTGATCTCATCTGAAATACAGGAGGAGTAAATTTTAGTGACATAACTTCCAGCATGATAACCATATCTAAGGTTGAAACATAGTGTCACTTTGAGAAGTTTAGAAGTTTAATGAAGTGACTCAGCAGGGAGCCAAGGTGTTCACTTTTTAAACATCTCTTCCTGTGCAACAGGCTGGAATGGCAGATGCTGGGGGTTTTATACCCTCCCTACGAGGTAGACTATTACACTACAAAGAAGAAAAAGAGGTTTTCTCTTTCCCCTTTGTGTCTCTTTTTGCTTTTGCTGATTTCTGCCACTGTGAACTGTTGTCCCTTTGCTGTGCACCACCCTGCCTTGCAGTCAGCTGATTATTAACAGAAACATGGACAAACTGTGAACTAAACAAACCTTTCCTTCCCTGAACTTTAGAGTGAGTTGTTTTATCTCAGCAGGGGAAAAGTAACCAAGAAACTATAGTTACTAATAATGTAGTATAAATTATAAGATCTTCTAAATAAAAGTAATACCTACAAAATTCTATACGAGGCTTTAGAAATGAGGTGAATTCCAAGATGATCTATTATAAAGAGCATATATTATGCTCTTCAATGTGTGGAGTGAAGCTTGATTTACCTTATAAAACAAAAGCTCAAAGGAAAAGCACAAGGACTAATGCCTCAAATATAAGCTGTATACACAAAACTGTTTCAAAAGTCTGGCCCCATATGAGCAGGTTTCAGAAAAATGGACAAAAGTATAACTTTCCTAAAATAAAACACCTAAGGGGAACAAAAATCTCTCCAATAATCTGGGAAGAATGTCATTTGACCTTTTAGCCATTCCATCAGGAAAAATGAAGGAGATACACAGAGAGATCAATATGAATTGGCAAGTCAAATGTCACATGATGATTTCAAACATTGCATTGCACCAGAGAAGAATAGGAAGAGGAGATGAATTATGGTTAGGGTTAGGATGGCAAAATATTATACAGGCAACTTTTTATATCTCTGAGCTCCATATTCAGAGATTCAATCCATCATCTGTGAAAGATGTTTGAAAGAAGAATTGTAGTTGTGCTAAGCATGCACAGGCATTTTCTTTTCATTTTTCCCTAAAATGTAATAACTTCTTATGTATAATTTTCATTCTTTAAATATCACAAGTAATCTAGAGATTACATAATTATACAAGAAAACTTGTTAGATGCAAATATTGTACATTTGTTAAAAAAATTTGAGCGTCTATGTTGTTGGAATGTGGGGATTTTATAGTGAAGTTCCCTTGGACATTCAGAGAGAAAAGCCCAATGTATTTATTTATTAAGATATATGTAGCACATGCTTATTAATAATTTTTGCCCACCTGTCTTGAGTACATCTATGAATAGAGTTCGGATTGCTAACTATATTTGATAGTTTCTCCTATATATCTGGCTGTACACAATGGAATGTGGTATGACTTTTGTTGTTCATTGATTTTATTTTTTGTCCTGTTTAAATGTCTTTGAAAGTAGCATAATTTTGTTGTTCTTAATACAAGGCTTATAAAAGTTAAAAATAAGTTTGACACAAAGTAAAATGTTGGATAAAAGTGAATATTTCTCTGTGAAGTATGTCAGAAGTTTAGAACAGAGAGATTAGGATGGTTTCTTTCTCTTTCACTAATGTTAATTCTAATGTTTTTAAGTTCCATGGGAGTAGTTTTTGTTATTTATTATATTTTTCAGATTGTTGTACCAGAATTGCAATATAATACAATTCTATAACATCTCTTTAATGTTTTACTACACTGAAAATAAAGTCTAGCCTTAAAATAAAATAATAAGAAGACTGTCAGGTCAAAGACTGGTATGTTGCTTATTGTTCATTAGGTTCTATTCTCAGTACTACAAAAATATATTTCTTAAGAATTAAAACAAAAACCAAGAGAGGTAAACTGAATGAACAAATACTTACTATTGAAATGTTTATTTGTGTCCTGGAGAAACAAGTCTAGAAGTTATATATCCAAAGCAGAGAAGCAGAAAGTGACAGAGACCAACAGATAGAAATTGCCATGGACACACAGACACACTCCAGAGTAGAGAGAAGAGAAGAGAGATAGCCTGAGGTGGATACAGACACACACACACACACACACACACACACACACAGAGAGAGAGACAGAGACAGACACACAGACACAGACACAGACACAGACACAGACATGGACACGGACACGGAC